CTCATGGGCCCCACCGGCACCCGCCATACCAAAGCAGATCCAGGAAAGGGCGCAGAGGTCCGGGCCCCCGGACGAACAACACTTGTGCATCAGCACTGTGCCGAGCACACAAGAGTGAAACCCTGTATTGGTGCGTGTATCGCTTTAAGAAAAATTCATGTGACCGATACAGAAAGTGTGTTGTTTGGATGTGCCACGCCAAAGTGTGTTTATAAGGAAACAAACTGTATCGACATGTTGTGGATTTGTTGGATGGAGTTTAGCTCTCACCTTGTTCCACTGACTTCATGGATCGTTCCAAGAAGTTTTCCCCGTCTGGAATCATTGTGATCTTGTGACGCCAAATAAACAAATAAATAAATGTTACAATCTCTGGAAACCTCTTGATATGAAGGTTGAGGAGAAGAAGATACAACCAATTCCATAACTGAAGTCCAACGTTACCTGACTGAAAGCAACACATCCAGAACAGAAGACCTGCCTCAATGTTGGAAAAATACCCAGAAAAAATACCCACGCCTTTATCAACTCACATTTAAATTTTATACCCACCTTCTTCACCTGCACCCTGTGAAAGAGGTTTTTTCTGGGACAGGAGAACTGGTAAAATCACCTCGGAGCAAAGACTCTTCAAAAACTTTTGTTCCTCAATAAAAATGTATAAACTAATCAATTTTTGTATTTTTAGTATATTTTATATTATTAGTATTTTATTTCATATGGTTAAACACTTAAAAAATTACATACTAACAATTTTAACTTTGAATTTTATTACAGACAAATCTGCTGTATTTTACAACTCAGTTTAGACAAACAGTTTAAACGAGGTATTAAGTAAGTTTTAACGTCTTCTCATGAACAACTTAACTCAGTAAACAAACTGAGCAAATGAAATGATGCAATGATGAGATGATATTTTAATTAAAGAACTGCTGATTCAACATTTCACAGGCTGATGTTGGGTTTGCAGCATGTAAGCTTTTTCTTATCTTCATTTTGTTTACCTGCAGTGGTTTTCACCTGCTGCAGGGGTCACTACTGAGTGACCAACACAGTGTCAATACAGAGACGACACAGTTTGTGTAGTGTGTCAATGCACTCCTTGAAGTGTCATCATCCCATCACTTATTAAAGGTTACAAAAAAACAAAGTATTTATTAAAGAAAAAGTGCTGACAGGGCAGCTCACAAGAAACAAGAATCATCTCGTGCTGAAAACAGAACAGTACAGAACAATGAATGACAGGAGTGAAGACAAGACAGAATATAAAGGTGAGACTAATGAGCACCAACAGGAAACACCTGGGGGAGAAACATGAGGATCAGGTGTGAGTGGGCGGGGCTAAAGCAAAGACAGACAGGAGGAAGAAAACAGAGGACAAGACAGAAAACTAGAATAAATCATAAACACAAGAAGTGGTATATATTTTAGTTAAATCTGTGCATAATTTTAAATTAAAATCATGATATTGTAAGATAAGTCTTTGTCGCACATTAATGTTGCACTTATTTAGTGCATTTCTATCCAACCACTGAAAGTGTTTAACTACAGTCTGTATCCTCATGTTGTTCACACACACACACACACACACACACACACACACACACACACACAC